GGTGCATAGTCCGCCGTGAGGACGTCTCGAAAGCGTCTGCGCTCTGAGAGGCTCCCAACACGCCGAACGTCTCCCACAGGCCAGGACTGCTCCACCACGCCGAAGCCCCACGGCGAAGCATCGGCGGCCGTGACCCGCTCGCACCAAGTGCGGCTCAGCGAGGCGGTCACGCAAGGAAGAAGGGCTCTGAAGCACGCAAGCTCGTGCTTCACAGAGCTCCACAGCGGCTGCCGCCTGTCACGCAAGCGCCTACATAACTCATAGATGGCGTAGAACAAGGCGAGCATCGGCCGCTGAAGTATGACTGCGGACGTGATGTGGCCCATGAGCCTCTCGAGCTCGCGCCCCGTGACTAGGCGCCCGGGCGCCAGCGCAAAATCGAAGCTAAACTTCAGCCGCCAGAACTTGCTCCTCGACAGACGCCACGTAGCCGAGGGTTTGTGCAGCACGTACCCGAGCAGAGTGTGGAGGTCCCCGTCATCACTGTCGAACGAGGCCCGGGTACCTTGCCTGTCCAGGGCGGCCAGCATGTGCTCAACCTCGAAGACAGGGTCGCCGCTGCCAGAAGTAAAGACCGCGACGTTGTCGATGTGCAGCATCTTGGCCGCGGCGCAATGAGAGCCGAGCGCAGGCGTGGGCACCTTGTCGGCGATCCACGGCGCCTCGGGACTGACGCTGCTCACGATGTGAGCATGGGCCTCCTAGATCAGGTGCACCGCCCACGACCAGCCCATGGGGATCACTCTGGCAGCGAAGTGCACCATCACGGATGCGTCCGTGATGCCCAACAGCCGCCGAGCCTCAGGCTGGAGAAAACGGGCCTGCACCGCGGGGGGGCCAAAGAACAGGCGCGCCCACGGAGGCAGCTCATACTGGTAGAAGCAGCAGTCCACGTCTGCGGACGCCACCGCGACGCCCTGCGTGGCGTCCACTTCCAGGTTGGCAAGCGCCTCGCCGCTTGACAGGAGCGTGCATGGCGGATCCTGAAAGCGGGCGTTCGACCTCCTGGTGTCGAAGATCAAGCGCAGCGACGCGTTCTTCTTCGGGACGAAGAAGAGGCCCGCCCGCTCAACGACGCTGCCCTCGCCCACGCGCTCGACGATGCCCGCGGAGAGCAGCTCAGAAAGGCACTCGCCGTAGTGGTAACCGTGGCGCTGCATAACTGGGTCCATGGCACAGACCCTTGGCGCCTCGCCCAAGGCAAAACTGCGAGCCGCTGGCTCTCGTAACATCTGCGAAGGATCAGACAGGAGAGCCTGCAGGCGCGGGGGCAGCGCGTCACTGAGTCGCACGCGCCCAGCCGCAGCCCGCGGGGGCGCCATCGCTCCCTCGCCGTCGGCCATGACGTCTGCATGGCCGTTCTGCGAAGCCTGGAGCGTCTGCCACGCCCCCAGGGGGGTCAGGTCAGCTGGCGGCTGCCCAACCCTGCCGCACAGCTTCGCGAGGTGCCGCACTGCCGCCGTCTGGCGCGCAGCTGGAGGTCCAGCTGGGGCGCCGAGGCCGCGGCCGCCCAAGTCGTTGGGCGCAGCGATCCCCTCGCGAAGCCACGCCTCCTGCTGACGCCGAAGTCGCCCGCGCCGCCCTCCGCCGTGGGGCAGTGGGCGGGCTGCCGCGCCATGCAGCAGCACATCGAGCGACTCGCCGACTGGAAGAGGCAGGACATCACGCGCCAGGGCGGCGTCCATGACCCCATGCGCCGAGGCCGCCATGCCCGCCACCGTGGCGCCCCCCCCCCTGAAATAGCGCCCGCTGCCCGGGGGAACGCAGCGGCCGCGCGCAAGCCGAAGGAGCGGGGGCGGGCTAGCCCCGGCCACGGCCGCGGCCACGGCCTCGGCCTGGGGGGCCCGCGCCGCCTCCAGCGCCGCCGCCGCCTCTGCCTCAGTCTCCGCCGCCAGCGTCGGCAGCGCTGCTGATCTCACCGCGCGTCAAGCGGCGCTCCTCCCTCCCTTTGCGCCTCTCCTTGAGAATGGCGCTCTCCTCTTGCATCCGTTCGGCAGCGTGCTTCTCCAGGGAGGGCGCCACGAGCGCATGGCCCTTGGTCCGCGCACTACCCAAGAAGATGCGACGCTCGTCCAGCCAGCCGTCAGAGTCGGCCGCCGCGCCCGCGGTCCCCGCTACCTCGGCTTGCCGAAGGGCTTCCGAATAGACCTCCTCCCAGAGCTGGAATCGCCTGGCCGCGAGCTCGAACGTCTCGCACCCTGGGAGGTTGAGCTGATCGGCGGTCGCCGCGGTCTCTAGGAGCTGGCACAGGAACAGGTGTTCATCGACCCCAGGGTCAGCGGCAGCCAACCCCAGGATCTGTCTCCACAAATAGTGGCGCTGGACGGGCCCGCCGCCTTGCTCCAGGTGAGCCTAGAGCAACCAGCCGACGGTGGCAGGCCCCTCTATGCGCCACTCCTTGGTGTCCATAGCCTCCTGCTGCTCGGCCGCGACCTCCGCGAACGCCCGCCGCCGCTGCCCAGTGCCGCTCCTGCGATACTGCAAGACGCGCTCGTCCAGCACGGTAGCAGCACCATCTCGCGGCGACGCTGGCAGCTCCTCCAGCGCCCCCGCGCGGCCCAGGGCGATGACCCCGTCGGGGAAGGTGTCGAGCGCTCGGTTCCCGCTGGCGTGCGCGGTGGCAAGAGCCACATCCACCGGCGCACCCCGCGAGAACCCCAGCCGCGACTCCAGTGCGACCCAGCCGCCATCGAGCCAGACTGGCGGCAGCGGCGCGCCACCGGGGCCCGCGCGAGGCGGCGGCGGGAGCGCCAGAGGCGCCAACGTCTGGCCGTCCTCGCGCTCCGCGTCCGAGCCGTCGGGAGTGGCTGTGCCGCCCACCAGCGGGGCTGAGGGGGCTGTGGCCTGAGCGTGCGGTGGGCAGCTCCGCGCGCCCCCGTTCCGCCAACTGCGCCCCCTCCGCGGCCAGCGCCTCCAGCGTGACCGAGTCCATGTCGAACCGGTAGAGCAACTTCTTGCGCAGGTGTGGCGGGGGGCCGCCTCGAGGACCGCCGCGATGGACCTCGACGTGATCTTCGTCGCTGAGGTCCTCCACGTAGACGTCCCCGTCAGGCGCCACTACGGCCCAAGAGTGACCCGACCACGTGCCCGCACAGCAGGCGCTCGTGGTACAGCTTCTCCTCCGGACTGTACAGGCAGAACACTCGCTCCCCCGCCCGCAGCGTCATCTTCATGGACTCGGGGCTCCGCAGGACCACGGCCATGGAGTCGACCCGCAAGGAACCCGAAAGCGAAGGACGCCAGCGCCGCAATCCAGCCGATGATCGCCACCTCCCAGAAAGACGAGGGGCAGTCTCTGGGCGGCGCACTCCGCAGCTGCTCGGGTCCACACCTGTCCAGTTGCCGCTGAAGCAGCGTCACCAGATCTTTGTCGTGCTCGGCTGCGTACGTACACGTACAATGGCAATCTCGCTGGAAGGAGTTCCAGAGGCTAGCAGCGTACAGCCCTGTGGTGGCCCAGTCTCGCACTTGGTACAGTGCGGGAGCGAGAAGGGCCATCACCAGCGCAGCTCGATCAGAAGCGATGGCTACAGAGCGTGAACAAGCGGGCGTCTGCGTGGAGCAATCCCGTGCAACTACTAGGATGTTGACACTTGCTTTGTTTCGGCCTTCCGACGTCCCGATACGGCCCAAGAGCCCCCAACGATCGCCCAAAAATCGCCAAAGAGGCCTCCAAGATGGCCCCAGAACGGCCCGAGAGGCCCCCAAGACGGCCCCAACATGACCCCAAGACGGCCCAAGAGGTTTTTGAGACGCCCAATATGGTCTCCAAGACGGCCCTGGAGCATTCCAAGAGGCCCCAAAGTCGGCTCATCGAGGCCCCCCAAACGGCTTCTGACGGCGTCGGACGGGCCAGGGGCCCACCAAAACGGTCGAAGTTGGCACTAAGATGGCCCAAGAGGCCTCAAAGAGGGCATCCAGGAAGGCCCGAAAAGGCCAAAATCATTGATTTCCCATGAGTTGTCGAAGGATTGTGGCATTTGCTTTTGTCTGCCTTCCGACGGCCCGAGACGGCCCAAGTGCCCCCAAAGATCGCCCAAGAGGCCCAAGACGGCCTCAAGAGGCCCCCAAGACAGTCCAAGAGGCCTCCAAGACACTCAAGATGGCCTCCAAGACGGCCCAAGAGCCCTCCAAGTCGTCCTCCAAGAAGGCCCGAAAAGGCTCAAAATGGCCTCCAGGCGGCCAAGACGACCTTCAAGATGCCCACGTGTTCTCCGAAGGCTTTCCAAACAGATTCGGGGAACACATGGTCCGATAGCTTGGCAGGTCTGGCCTCACCGTTCGGCCACATAGGCGCTTCAGAAAAGGCAGGGGGCGGCGGTGATTCGCCGTAAGCGTCTTCGATAAAGAGCGACTCTTTCCGCAACAAGTATGGTGGCGGAAAGAGCGACGGCAAAGTAGGGCGGACATCGACGTCAAAGAAGCTTGAACAATGGGCGGAACTTTCCGCCCTCTTTGCGAAATCGACTAGAAAATTATCCAGAGTCAGGTTTCAAACAAACACGGCCAGGGAGGGAAACCAGCCCTGGGGGGAAGATCCAAACCTCTGGGGTTCCAGCAAATCGACAGACAGAAGCCGCGCACGTCAGAGGTGCGTTGGCAACACGGTGAAATGGAGACGATTGGATGAAACCACGAGCCTGGCTACAGCAACTCCTACTCGGGAGCCCAGCGGACCTTGGGAACACAATCCGGGCGATCCCGCACGAGGTCACGGCGGGACCTGAGATGAGGGGAAAGTGGCAAGAAGGCGCGGTCCCAGAGATCCGATGTCGTGATTTTTTCAATGCGGGGTCCCTGGAAAGGTCGACCCATTCCCCATGACCGGCTTTTCATCCTGAGTCGTTTTTCAACGGTCCGGGGGCCCAGTGAGGGCCCCTAAAAGCCAAACATCGAGAAAAATGTCCGTCTTGATTTTTTCAGTGCGTTGGACCTCTGGGGCTGCGAACAGCAACAAGACGTAGTTCTGCAGCCCTCACCCCGCCCCTGGGGGGCGGGGCCTGCCGCGCCCGCGGGGGAGGGGGCGCGCCCGGCGCCCTTCGAAGCCTCGCTCGCCCACTGGCGGGTTTTCGCGTCCGCGGGCGGCGGGGGGTGCTCATGGGCCGGCGGGCGGCGAGAAGGCGACAGAACCGGACGTCGTCGGCGGCGTCGGCGTCCTCCTCCTCCTGCTCCTCCTGCTCCTCCTGCTCCTCCTGCTCCTGCTCCTCCTCCTCCTCCTCCTCTTCCTTCTCCTCCTCCTCCTCCCCTCCCATATCATCAGAATCATCATCATAATCACCATCACCATCACCATTCTCACCACCATCACCACCACCATCATCACCATCACCACCATCATCATCATCATCACCATCATCATCATCATCATCATCATCATCATCATCATCATCATCATCGTCCTCCGCATCATCATCATCATCGTCATCACCACCACAATATTTTATCAGCTACATCATCGTCATCATCATCATCATCGTCATCATTAACATCATCATCATCAGCATCATCATCATTACCATTATAATCACCATCACCATCACCATCACCATCACCATCACCATGACCATCAACACCATCATCATCAACATCATCATCATCATCATCATCATCATCAGCATCATCATGGATTTGTCGCCATCGTGCTCCTACTCATTGATCGAGAGAGAGAGAGAGAGAGAGAGAGAGAGAGAGAGGCAGGGAGAGGGTGAACAAAAAAAAAAGGAAAAAACAAAGAGAGGGGGGGAGAGAGAGAGAGAGAGAGAGGAGAGGGATATATAGATATATAGAGAGAGAGAGAGAGAGAGAGAGAGAGAGAGAGAAGAGAGAGAGAGAGAGAGAGAGAGAGAGAGAGAGAGAGAGAGGGAGAGGGATATATATATATATATATATATATAGAGAGAGAGAGAGAGAGAGAGAGAGAGAGAGAGAGAGAGAGAGAGAGAGAGAGAGAAGAGATAAACATAAGCAAAAACAGACAGACAGACAGAGCGACAGCAACACAGAGACAGCGAGAGAGAGAGAGAGAGAGAGAGAAAGAGAAAAGGAGAGAGAAGGAGAGAAAAGGAGCAAACAAACAAACCAACGAACAGAAAGAGACGCCGCGCGGCGCCTCTGGCGGTGCTCCTCCTGCCTCGCCTCGCCCAGGGGGCGCGTGGCAGGCCCCCCCCGCTCTCGGGGTCCCTGCGCCGCTGTCGCGGCGCAGGCCAACCGCGACCAAAAAAGGCTTGCGCGAACGCATCAGCCCAACTTGTACCTTGAGCCAAAATGGCTACGGTGCTTCATGTGGACCGCGCGCACTTTGCCCTTGTCACTGGTGCCGCGCAACCGCGCCCTGCGCCAAAATCCCTCGCGCGCGTTTCATTCATTCGCCAAACTTCGCGGCGCCCTTTCTTTTTTTTATCCTTGCGGAAGGGGCAATAGCGCTATCAGCGACGCTGAGCGGAGGTGCGCTGTTTGCTAGTTGAAAATTACTCCAATTCCCGTCAAGTTTGATCGTCGAGGTCACTCTTGCAATTTTTACGCGGGCTTCGGCCCAACCAGTCAGATGCAAGTTGGCGGTGGGCGCGGCAGCTGCAGGGCGCGAGCGCAGCTGCGACTCTCAGCCGAAGACCTCGGCCCCCCCGCCCCCCGACGGCGGCTTGGGGGGGCGAAGGGCTCTGGGGTGCAGGAGCGAATGCAAGCCCGACCGATCGAGCAGCCGCCGCGCCCCCGCCGACGGGGCGCTATTTCAGCCGCGTGATGGCCGTCGCTGACGGCCATGCCGCGTCGAATGCACCGGATCTCTTCTGACCTCCGAAGTTAAGCGGCGCAGGGCCCGGTTAGTACTGGGGTGGGGGGCCGCCTGGGAAGACCTTCGGGTGCTGTCAGCTTTGGCGCAGCCCAGGGTCGCAGCGCGAAATTGCTGTGCGCCGCTCCGCCGCGCGGCGCAGTCAGGTGCGCTACGCAGTAGACACAACAAGGAATGCACACACACGCACACACACACACGCACGCACACATGTCAACTGTCACCCCGAAGGGTGCACCACATCTGGCGGCGTGCCAAGCCAGAGCAGTGCTTGAGGAATCCTGAGCAAGCTCAAGGATGCACCTCCCCAGAAAAAAATACATGCGACAAGCAAGTCTCCAGTTGGAGACATATCAGTTGTCACACTGATAAGAACAGATACTACACTTGATCATAGCCAAAAGGCCGAAGAGGGCATGCTCTAACTCGCGCGGCCGCCACCAGCGCCGCCGCGGCAGCAACAAAATACCCCCCCTCCAGGGGGGGCCCCCCCTGGGGGCATTTGGCTCGAGGCTTCGGCGTTCGGGGCCTCCCGTCTGGAATCCCGGGGGTTCTGTGGGGCAGGCAGCCAGGGCTGAGGTGGGCCACCCCTGCTCGTGCCCGCGATGCTGCGCCTCCCCAGATGCGCATCGCTGCGCCCGTGGCCCCAGCATTCACGCGCATCGCTGCGCCCGGCACATCGGCGCGCCCCAGCCCTACATGGGAGACACGCAGCAGCCCATCCCAGTCCCAGGACTGAGGTGGGCCACCCCTGCGCCGCCCCAGCGCCCCCCGCGCTCGTGCCCGCGACGCTGCGCCGCCCCAGATGCGCATCGCTGCGCCCGTGGCCCCAGCATTCACGCACGTCGCTGCGCCCAGCACATCGGCGCGCCCCACCCCTACATGGGAGACGCGCAGCGGCCCATCCCAGCCACCCCTGCGTTTGTCCATATCCTGGCTGCCGCCGTGCCCGCGATGCGCGACATCTACAGGCGGGCCCCGACCCCGACCCCCGCGGGCCACTCAGTCCCAGCACTGCAGCGCACCGCTGCCGCCCCACCCGCCGCTGAGACGCACGAGGGGGGGGGGGGGGGGGGGCAGGCCGCGGCGCGGCAGCGTCGCGCCTCGCTTCGTCCCATTGCCCCGCTGTGCCCAAAGTGGGCGCGACAGCGCGACAAACGGCCACCCCTGCCCCTCTGCGAGGGCGCAAAAAGGGGGGGCAGCTGCCCGTCTCAAGCCTGGGTTTGGGGTGGGTAGCTGGCCCTGCGCCCCGCAACCCCGCGGGCGAGAAGCGTTTCGTGAGAAGCGTCTCGAAGGAGACCCACCCGGATCCCGAAGAATCAACCCGCCTTCCCCCCTGCGGGGGGGCGGCGCCGCCAGCATTTCTGATGCCCCGCAGCCTTTCGCGGCGAGCGCGGCGCGCGCGGATGTGCTGGATAAAGTTACCTGGCTAGTGTTGGGCGGAGATCCAGCAGCTCGCTCTCGTAGGGTCGAGCAGCTCACTGCACTCTGAGGCCTGTGACGCTTTAGGAGCCACCGATGGAGTCATCCATAGCAGAATTTCTTGCGAGGTGGCCTGCTTGCGAGCGACTGCCAACATTCAGACCGATCACAGCCCCGCGACGCTGGCCATGCAATGGCCGCAGCAGCGAGCAGCGCAGAAAACATTGTCATTGAGGAGTTCCCGGAAAAGGCCATGCTAACTTCAGAACTTCAGTTTCTCGTGTTCGGAAGCCGCTGCAACATGCAACAGCGACGCTGCCAGACTTGCAGCGATGAAACTTGCATGCATCACAGCGTTCATTTCAGCTCGTACCAATCTTTCGCCTTTTTACTAAAGGTTGCCGTGAGAGGGGCGCATCAATGTGACTTCCATTATTTTTGAAGGGGTAATCCCCAACATTCGCCCTGCGTCGTCTCAGACCCACCCCTGCTTCGTCGGCAAGCGCAGGCGACGCGTGCCCCAGCACCGCACACACACATACACACGCACGCACACACACACACACGCGCGCGTGCATGCATGCATGCGTATAATCCGCAAAGGAATGGGGCGCCTGCGCGACTGGAGCTGCACGGCGAGAGCGCCCCCCCCCCCCCCCCTCCCACGCCCCCGCCCACCAGGCGCAGGCGTTTCGGATTCCCTTCGGGGATCATCCGTTAAAATTGGAACGATACAGAGAATATTTGCATGGCCCCTGCGCAAGGATGACACGCACAAGCCGAGAAGTGTATACAATAATTTTATGAAGCACGTTCCTGCTACACGCTTCGCCAGTTCTATTACTACTACTACTACTACTACTACTACTACTACTACTACTATTACTAATACGGGTACTACTTTTACTTCTACGCACGCGTCGACTAGTAGTGCGTTGACTATACCTCATGTGTACAATAAGATTACTCATGCTACTACTAGTACAACTAAAACTACTTCTTCTTCCACTACCACAACTCCGACCACTCCTACTTAAACTACGACGACGACTACTACTACTTACATAACGATTCCTACCGCGACTACTAACTGCTACCACATCGGCTGCTTTTTCTTACTCTACTAGTACTACTTCCACTCCTACCACTCCTACTTCTACTGCAAAAACTGCCTCTCTACCGCGATTACTGTTACTATACGTATTACTACTTCTACTAATTCTACTACTTGTGCAACTTCTACCACCTCTAGAACTTCCACTACTCTCACTACTTCTACTACTACTGCTACTGAGACTTCTGCTACGACTGCGCCTAATACTCCTACTGCTACTGATATCACTACTAGAACAACTACTACGATTCCTCCTTCTACGTCTACTTCTTCTTCGTCTCCGACCACCACCACTACAACTGCTACTGTTGCTGCTACTACCACTATCAAGACCTTATTCGCTGCAAACGCATCCGCGCGAGCTCCGGGCAGAAATGCTCGGTTGTTGTGTTTTGGGATATTTTCTTATTGATGGCGGAGCAGCCGCCCAAGACGGCCCAAGATGGCTCCGCATACTGCACTTCCCAGAAGGCCCCAAGACGGCTCCGAGAAGTTCGCCCAGCAAAACTATACTTGATCTGTTTTTGTGATGTCGGGTCGGCGACATTTTATTCTTCATGTTCTGATCATTGCTTCGCGCCCGCAGGCGAAAAAATGACCCCCCGCCCGCCCGCGGTCGCGGGGGCGTCAGTAAAAATTGCGTTGGAATGGCTGCGCCATTCATGGTGCAGCAAGCCTACTATGTCGACGCGCTTCAGGAATACTGACAGCACAGGCTTTGGGGGAGGGGGCAAGACGTTTAACTAGTGCATCGACATTGCCCAAGCGCGGCCTCTGAGCCCCCGGCGATCGCTATGGGGGGGGGCCCAATTTAAGCCCAAAGACTTGGGGCCCGAACCTGTATCGCGAGCCCACGAGGCCCGGAGAAGCCCCCAACAGGCCCAGAAACAGCCCCAAGGAAGCCAAAACAAAACCAATCGCCCACCCCGAGTTGCCAGTTTAAGTTTCAAGGCCATCATGGTGACTTCCCTTCGATGGGCAACGCAGTTGGAGATGACGTTCCGTCTTAGTCCTGCCGAAACCAGTCCGAATAACACATGCAAGCTTCAGGCGCCAATCGGCCGCCGTCAAGGGTTGATTAAAATACAGAGGCCACCGCAACAATTTTTCGGTTGTGGGCAATTCACGCTGCATCACGCACGCGACGCGCGCGCATGGTCACGCGCGCGCGGCGGGTGACCCGCGCGCGAGGCGCGTGCGGCTCACCCGAGAGCCGCTCGGTCACCGTTGAGGGTTCGCTGTAGTTTCCAAGCCAACATGGCGACGTTTCGATTGTTCTCACTAATCACCACGCGCGCAACACGCGCGCGCGGGCAGGAGTTGGCCCTGTATCTTTGCAAAGTACCAGGTCTATAACATAGCCTATATTTCTTTGGCAGTTCCAATCAGCCACCGCCGTGTGGCCGCTTTAGTTTCCGTGCCACCATGGCGACTCTTTAGATGTGGACAACGCAACTCACCACGCGGGCGGGTGACCATGGTCACCCGCGCACGGTGGGTGCCCCACGCGAGCGGGCCACCTGAAATCAGGAGCGTGCAGGGCCCGCTTTGCTTGCCGAGCCTATATGGCGACCTCTCGATTCTTGTCAAGCTGTCCGCCATAGAAGCATCGGGGTCACCGGGGCCCATGTTACCTTCCAAGGCCTATTTGACCAGTAGCTGCGCCCAGTGCACCATTGGCCGAGAACTCCGTCGGGTTGCCGCGCCCGGGTCTCCGAGTAGCCCCCCGAGTCGCGGCCTGCACGCGCCGCGGACAACCTCAGCCATTGGCGGCGGGGGGGGGGGGGGGCCTAGGCCCTGGGAGTTCGCCGTCGCACCCGAAAAGAAAGAGCGCTTGGCCTTGCCCAAAAGAGGCTGCGAGGCGCCATCGGGCAACGCGGTTTTGCAGCGGCTGGAGTCGAGGGCGGCCTCCATGGCCGAGAGGCGCTGCGCTCGATCTTGCGGCCTGGCCCACGGTGGCCCGCGGGCTTGCTGCATGCATGCGGCGTGACTGTGGCCATCAAACGCCAGCGCCATGCAAACCGCTTGCATTGCTTCGGGGGAACTCCGCATGACAAGCGCATGTACGCCCACCCCGCATCCATCTTACATCGGGCGATCTATATTACACCCATAGTACAGACATCTGACACCCAACTCGCACCCACCATGCACCCATCTTACATCCATTTTACGTGCGTGCGCGATGTACATCCATCTTACATCGGGCTTTCAAGCCTGTTCAGGTCCCCGAACGCATGTCAACAACCGCGCGTTCAGGTCTGTTCAGGCGGGCCGCATTCGAGAAATCATCATGCCAGGGGTTTCCATTCATGTCCATTCAGGTCCATTCAGGCCATTCAGGTCCATTCAGGCCCATTCAGGTCCGTTCACGCCCGTTCAGGCCGCTCATTCAGGTCTGCTGAAGTAATTTACGACGATGGGATGCTATGTACGTACAACACGCATCTTATGAGTGCCGTGTTGATGCGACATGCTGAACGCGACAATGCCAGTATTTGCGCGGCCTCCGTTTCGGCTGCACCCGCGCCGCGATGCGCAACATCGGCAGCCATGTTGGCAGCATGGGCGCCTGTTCCACGTCCGCGCGCAATGGCCTCCAGCCCCATCAAAACTGAGAAGCAGATCGACACTGCAGCGGCTTGGAATCCATGATGGCCGAAACTAGCGAGAGGGGCGACCGCGCCCTCGGAGGGCGGTAGCGAAGTCAACGAACACGACGCGGCGCTTTTCCAAGCGCCCCGAGGTTCTTGGGCGATTTTTTTGGGCCGCGACCATGGCTGGCGATATGGCTGACCTGAATGCGCATAATTGGACCTGAATGGGCCTGAATAGCGCGTTCTGGGCTGCCGCGGGAGTTGGCGGGGCCGCTGCCCCGCCCTGGATGACCCCCCAACGCGCGCGGCTTCGGCCGCGCGGCTACAAGTGCGATGACCCCCAACGCGCGCGCACGGCCGCCTGGCGCCTCGCGCGCGTTGCGCGCGGTCAACCGCCCCCGCGCGCGCGTGGGTGGTTCTGCTTAGCCGTTGTTCAACGCATCGGAAGAGCTGCGTCAGATTGGGATTCCGCTCGGTCATCGTTAAAGCTTCACTGCGGTTTCCGAGCCAACATGGCGCGATTCGACAATGGTCGACGCAGAACTCACCAGGCGCGCAGCGCGAGCGCACGCGCGCGCTGGCGGGTGCCCTTGTAGTGTGCGGCGCGCAAGACATGCACAACAACCACTGCTAACTTCAAAATCCAGTCGGGAAGCGCCAAGTGCTCAATGTAGGTTTCAGGCAAGCGTGGCAGCATGGCGACCTCTCGGCTGTGGGCGATAGAACCCAGCACGCGCACGGCGCGCGCGAGTGGCTCTGCCTTGCGCATGGTACAAGCAATTCGCCGGAACTAATGATGGCTCGCAAACCCAATCGAACACGGCTCAGCTAAGTCCAGCTAAGTGTCCATTTTAATGCACACGCCCACATGGAAGCTTGCCGTGCGTGGACAATGCAGAATTCACCACGCGCGCGTACGCGCGCGCGCGCCGACGCGCGCGCGGCTGCGCGCGCGCGCGTTGGGCACGAGCACACGTGTATTGATTTCTATACACTTGGAGCGATGGTAACTCGAACACCCAATGATGACGACCCAATGTATAATTTCATTCTCAGACCAGAAGAGGAGATCATGTGAATGTGGAATATGTGGGAACCTAATACAGCGGAGCGCGCGCGCGCGGCAGGCACGAGCACAAGTGTGTTGATTTCTATACAACGTGAAGGATGTTAACCCGAAAACCTAATGGTGAAAACCCAATGTAAAATTTCATTATCTAGCCAGAAGACGAGATCATATGAATGTGGCATATGTGGAAACCATATACAGCGGAGCGCGCGCCCGCGGCGGGCACGAGCACCAATGTATCGATTGCGATACAGCGTGAGCGATGTTAACTCGAAAACCGAATGGTGAAAACCCAATGTAAAACTTCATTCCCAGATCAGAAGAGGCGAACATATGAATGTGCTATACACGAAACACTTAACAACTTAGCGCGCGCGCGAAAGCTGCGCGCGCGCGTTGGGCACGGGCACCAGTGTATTGAGTTCTATACAACTGGGGCGATGTTACATCGAAAACCAAATGGTGAAAACCCAATGTAACAATTCATTCTCAGATCAGAAGAGGCAATCATATGAATGTGGCATGTGTGGAAACCTAATACAGCGGAGCGCGCGCGCGCGTTGGGCACGCGCACAAGTGTGTTGATTGGTTTCTATACAAATGGAGCGATGTTACCTCGTAAACCCAATGGCGCAAACCCAATGTAAAATTTCATTCCCAGATCAGAAGAGGCAATCATATGAATGTGTAGATGTGGCAACCTAAAACTGCGGAGCGCGCGCGCGCCGCAGCGTGCTCGCGTTCCTCTATATTTTGTTTTCGCATATTCCATATTCAGTGATCAGATGATAGCCTCTTCTGGTCCAAGAATAAAATTGTACATTGGGGTTTCGCCATTTGGTTTTCGAGTTAACATCGCTTCGATTGTATAGAAACCACTACGCTGGCGCGTGCGCCCGTCTCTCGCGCGCGCGCGCCCGACGCCCCCATAAACCGTGCATTTTTTTGTTTTGCAGCATGGGGGCGATGTAAATTCGAAAAGAGACTTGTGAACACCAAATAAGGTTTGCATTCTCAAATACGAAGTCGTTTACACCATTAGGTGGATACGTCACCCGACTAGGCGTGTCACTCGACGGCGGGTGATACGTGTCACCCCTTGGGTGTTCGATGGGCTGCCGTGGGAAGCCTTGTGGGCGGCGTCTTGGAAACGATGTTTGGGCATCTCGGCGCCGCGTCGATGCCTCTACGGGTGTCATTCGGGCTTCCTGGGCGCCCGTCGGAGTCGGAGCCCCTTGGGGGGCCTCATCGAGCCTCCAGGGGCGGTGGTGGTGGTGGTGGTGGTGGTGGTGGTGTGTGGGGTGTGGGGGGGGAGGGGGGGGGGGGGGGGGGGGGGGGGGGGGGGGGGTCATCTTAAAATGGAGAGCTCGGAATGTCGGTTCGGGCTCGCCGCATTTCTGAGCAACGCATATCCCGATGAGTTCTCGGAGCGATGCCCAGGCGGCGATCGAGCACAAGTGCAAACCATCCAAGTGCCAAGTGCAGGCGCAACTGCGGGCACGCAGATTCGGGAAACCTTCGTGCGTAGGCGCTGTCTTGGGAACGGCGGCAACGGCAGCGGCGGCGCGCGGAAGAGAGAGAGGAACAATGGGTTTGCGCTCGCCCCAGCGTCTTCCGCAATATGACTGGCTCGCGAGCTGAATGCTCGCCGCCTCGATCTTCGCAGCGCGGCTGGATCGGGCTCAGAGGCCGACAGGCGGCAGGCGGTGCGTCGGGAGAGACCCCACATTGCTCTCTCTCTCTCTCTCTCACTCTCTCTCTCTCTCTCTCTCTCTCTCTCTCTCTCTCCCTCTCGCTCTCTGTCTCTCTCCTTCTCTATCTCCCACTCTCTCTCCTTCTTTGTCCCTTCCTCCCTCCTTCTATCGTTATCTTTATATCTGCCTACCTCTCTGTCTCTGTCTCTCTTTCTCTCTCCCTCTCTCGTCTCTCCCTGTCTGTGTCTCTCTCGTTCTCCCTCCCTCTTTCTCTCTCTCTCTCTCTCTCTCTCTCTCTCTCTCTCTCTCTCTCTCTCTCTCTCTCTCTCTCTCTCGTCTCTCTCTCTCTCTCTCTCTCTCTCTCCCTCCTCTCTCTCTCTCTCTCTCTCTCTCTCTCTCTCTCCCCCTCTCTATCGCTCTCTTCTCCTCGTCTCTATCGCTGCATCTCTCTCTCTCTCTCTCTCTCTCTCTCTCTCTCTCTATCTCTCTCTCTCTCTCTCTCTCTCTCTCTCTCTCTCTCTCTCCTCTATCTGTCGCCCCCCCCCCCCCCCCCCTCCCTCCCCCCCCCCCTCTCGCACCCCCCATTTCTGTCCCTCTGGGGGGGGGGGGGCAAAGGAGGCGGAGAGGTAAGTGGGGGGTGGGACTGAGAATGGGAGGACAGCCTGCGCGGCCGAGGCTACTGCGCCCCCCAGCGCAAGCTCACGAGTTCAAATGATAGAATTGGAGCGCATGGGCACGGTTCGCAACCCTCAGATCTTCGCCCACGTTGAGGGCTCCAACTGCTTTTCTCTCCACGTGCTGCAAGATATTCGCAGTGGCGCGCCTCGCGAGAACCCTCGCCCCGAACTTGGCAACAATCAAATCCCGGAAGAGCTTCCGAAAGCGCCTGCGGGCCGGTGGGAGCTGCATTCGCTGAACCCGGTTTGGGTCAGCAAACCCCTTGGGCGCCATCTTGGATCACGGAGCTTCTGGGGTCCCTGAGGGCTGCGATCGGGCGATGCGTCTGCCGTCAACCTCGGAGTAAAAAAAAAAAAAAAAAAAAAAAAAAAAAAAAAACAGCGGCGGCGTCACTGGAGGGCAGCGCTGAGGACGAGGGGGCGGGCACTCTCGGACACTAGGCAAATACAAGTATTGAGGATGCGTGCAAACTGCAAACGCCATGGGCCCTGAAACCCCTGGTCCAAACGACCACGAGCATCGCAGCATAGCGGCATAGCGAGCCATCACAAGTAATGTTCACTATGATGTGTGTTCTTTGTTCCAGGTACATGCGCAAACTGTTTACCCCCCCCGAGCATCAGAGTGCGTCTGGGTCCGACACCGTAAACGATCGATGTCCAAACAGCGCTTGCACTAGCCCTGGATTGTTCAAAGAGTGCTTGCATATGCTCCATGTGCCCTTTATGTGCGAAGAAAGCCTGGCTGCTCCCCTGCCCGCCCCCCCCCGCCACCGTGAATCTACAAGGAAGTTCAATGATATCCTCCTCCTTCGAGCCTCCTCCTCCAGACGCGTGCCTCCAGGAACGTGTTTGTTAAAAAGGGATACGCCGGCATCCTCCAGAAGCTAGGCGGATGGGGCGGGATGGGATGAGAGGGGCGGGGGATAGGGCGCTTGTTACTGCGAGCCGCCAGGGCCCGTCAAGCTGCCGCCGCTGCAGCTGGCCCTGGGCCGCCACCAGACATGGCGGCAATAACTCGCCTCATGATGTCGACTTGCTCCGTGCCCCGCTCTGGCTGCGAGGCCACGTGTATGACCGCCGCAATGTCGAAATCTCTAGTCGCATCGGGGGGGCGAGCCATGCAATCAACATGCGCTACTCTATTATCGCGAAGGCGGTTGCTTGCCCTCACCTGGTAGCGGAACTTGCGCAGGCCTCGATCAACTTTACGATTGCATATAAGGCATGCCGATCTCCCCGACGGAGCGATCTCAAACCCTGACACTCCAGCACTCTCCAAGCCGCCGAGAACGCCGAGAACAGCAGGAGCAACATGAGCAGGAGGGTGTGCAGGCGCACCGCCAGGGTCAACGAAGTCCAGCTCATCCCCGCTCTCGGGGTCGATATCCTCATCATTGCCACACTCTCAATCTGAAGATTCAGAGCCTGTGTAGCCGGCGGCGTGGGCGGCATCCTTCACCTGCACTGGGCCCTTGATGGCAGTCTCGGGGGGGGGGCCTTGACCTTGCCGAGCCCGAAGGGGATGGCGTCGCTCTTTTCCTTTGCAGTCTTCGGCTTCAGCTTGAATGCGATTGGCAAGGCCCTCTGCACATTGATGCCAACCACTCGCACGCAGTACTTATGGAAGGTATGGAAGGTATCACCAGCATCAACCACGTCGTATATAGTGATCTGCGCCGTCTCCAAGTCTCGGATGGATTCTTTATTGAGTCTCCTTGCAACATTCGCCATCGCACGATTGCCGACCGTGTGCGACGTCGACAGCGCCACTCCCATCAGCCCAGGCTCGAAGGACAGCTTGAAGCACTGAGGATCGCCGAGGGTTTGCTGCGCTCGAGCCAGGACGTGTAGTGCCCCAACCCCATACTTGTCTATCAGAACATGTTTCTCTGCTGCGATCCCCGCTGGGCCAGCAATCTGCACCGGCGCTGGAAGCTTCGATGACCGAATTTGCGAATGAAGGTTTTCCACGCATGTCCCCACTGTCCCCAACATCGCCCCGAGTACAACAGAGACCACCATACATCGCGCAGCAGGGCAACCTGGGCTGCGCAGTGCCTGGAGGGTTTGGCACGGGAACTTCGCTGTTGTCAAAGTGTTTGAGTAGGCGCTCTTCAACCCCCTTCATGGTCAAAGTATTGTCGGTCAAGTCTGGTTGCAGCACCTTCCACGGGCAGTCCAGCGCTGCTCCAGCGGCCCAGGAACTATCAGCTTGCATATTCTGGAGCGCCTCCTCGTATTCGAAATGGCGGAGCGTCCCGACATGGCGCTCGCCTGCGCTGCTGCTGCAATCATGGGCGCCCAGAAGCGTGGCCCACCCATCATGCAAGTCGCCAGTGCGCTGGGATACCTCAGCAGACACGTGGTCGGCCATGGCCTGGTAGTGGGTGACGGATGCAACTGCCTGCCGTTTGAATTCGAGGTTCAGCCGTCTCGTCTCTGCCATCCCAGCCGCAGTAAATGGAGATATGCCAGGGGCCCAGTGCACCTTGCGGTGCATTGAGAAAGCACTTGTCAGAGTAGGGCAATGCCTTCTCTTGGTCAATCGTCGACGCGCCTCTCGGACCCTGTTGGTCACCCCGCGCTTTATCTGCGCATTGCGGGCAGCGTGCTTGGAGAAACTCACGCGCGCGACTTTCGTCGGCACATGTTTTCTCCAGACGGCATTGGTCTTCGAAGCGTTCGGTTTCAACATCATCCTGAGATGCGTCCGCATGGACAGTTCATTGGCGCGACATGCCATGCCTCTCGATCGTGCCTTCCGGGTCTCCTGTCCAAGGAGATGCTTCGTGTCTATCTTGACGCTGGGCGGCGGCATCGCAGCAACCATCCCAACGAGGGCATCGCGTGCTTTGAGGGGCTGCTCCTTGGGGCGCCTCAGCCAGACTATGGACCATTCGTCGAGGCAAGCGCCGCAAGCATCACCTTTAGCACAGAGCTGGCGGATCCCCCTGGAGATGTTCTCATCACTTGAAAAGTCGCCGCCGCAGACGCGAAGTAGTTCGAACTTCGGCTGCTGGCAGCGGAAAGCCAACCTGCGCCAACACTGTCCCATTCTCTGCATCAATCGCCCAGCCATATCGTACTGGTCGGCTCTGCCCCACTCCACGCCCGACCAGAGCTGGTCGTCATAACTCGAGAGAGCGCCTGCGTGGCTACGAACAACAGGTCGACCCAGTACGCCTGTCATAATGTCCAAGTTGCGGGAGCATGACGTCTTGAGCGCGTCTTGCAGCGGGGAGTTCGGGCTGGGGGCTGGGCCCCCCGCTGGCGCAGACAGCGCCAGCTCAACAAACTTAGTTGCATCACCCTCGCTCGTGAAAACTTTATTGAGGTAGGCCTGGAGCGGCCTCTGCAAGATAAGACCCTTCAAATTCGAGGCGCCACCAATGCCACCCTCCATGTAATCAATGATTTGTCCAGCCTTGACGGTCTGCGTCGCACCTGCAGGGGCCTCATCATCAACTGCAACACTTGCGAGTTCCCTCTCGGCGGCTTCCACTGCAAACCTGTCGAATGCACGCCTAAACGATCGGAGTCTCAAGTCGTGTTGTGCACGAGCTCGGTGACACCGCGCATTCGCTCTCTCCATGTGCTTCCAGCGGTACTCCAATGCCAAGGGGCACACTGGGCCACTGCTCACGGTGATCGAAGTTTTGACACGCTTCAAAGATGACGCCCTGGTGCGTCCACAATTGCAGTCGGGCGTGCACCAACGTATTATTTTACGTTGTGTCCAATCGCCGTTGTCGTACTTCAAAATCACATTCTGTTCATCTGTCGCCATGCCGAACCCGCTCAACTCCATCACTCTCTGGGGGAACTCGCGCCACGCATGGTGCTCCTCGGGCAGAGCACCCACGCGCTTGAATTCGAAGCTATGGTCGATCTCGCAGTCCAAAGCCTGCGAGTAGCGCCCCGCCGCCCTCCAGCTCGGGCAGAGGTGGCCGCAGCGGACCACGCATGAGGCGAGCCCGCCAAAGTGGTATAATCCGCCAGCCCTCTGGGCGACAGGTAGTCGAACGAGATTGCCCATTCCCCATTGAGGAGGAGTATATGCAGGAGGGGGGGAGGGGGGCGCAGGCAGGGGGGAAGGGAGAGGGGGGGAGGGGGAGAGGTCGGCAGGGGGGCAGGAGGGAGGAGGGAGAGGGGGGGGGGGGGGGGGGGGCGAGCGGTCAGGGTGCCATTCTGCGCTTATTCGCATGACCATTTGCTGACGCCCCCCAAGGATCGTGGCCCCCGATGGGGAGGGGGCGCTAACATGGAGCACCCCCAATCTTTTGATCGATCGACGGCCTCCAAGACGCCCTCCAGAGCTCCCAAGAGGCCTCCCAGAGCCCTAAGAGCGCCTCAAGAGGCCCCACGATGGCCCTAGGACCCCCCCTGAGAGGACCCAAAGACAGCTCCAGAGGCTTCCAAGACGCCCAAGATTGCCAATACAGTTCCCAAGATCCTTCACCATGAAGGCCACTCTCCTGGTGGCTCTTCTGGGCTGAACTGGCACGGTGGATACGCGACGCGTGATGGATATAGGCTTGAGGTTGAGCACGGCGCTGTGCCCAGAACACTCCATCGAAAAGACAATATGTCATCTGAAGAAACATTCTGTGATTCAAGCGATGCCCGCGTGTCCAGCAGCGCTGCTTCTGTTTTGGCAACTAGGCAACCATTCAGACTCAAACAAACGCGAACCATGACCAAGTTAATACAACAACCCAGTCGTGCGATGTCCCCGTCCAGGTCTCCGTCGGGGTCGATGCCAGCCCCTGGCCCAACGCCGTTTATGATACTCCACTTGCGCCACCTCTGCAGCACAGTTGAATAGTTCGCAATTGGCAACATCTGGGCTGGACTGAAGACGTCAAGGGCAGACGCGCGCCCGTGACCACCCAACTTGAACAAGGTCTCTTGGATGTTTAGCACTGCTGCGTGTGTCATGTTGCCTCTCTTCTTACGCTTGCGCAGCGATGCAGCCACTGCAGGGGTCGCACTCGACGCAATCTCTTCAAGGATATCATCTGTGCCTGGAGGCCTGGATAACCACATGGAGGCGTCGTCGAAAACGTTCACGGCGTGCAGACGCACGCACTCCCCCTCGGACAACCAACGTTTGATGCCCTTGGGTTGGGCCCCCGCATGGCTAGCCAGCAAGCGTTGGGCATCGGCGCGGCTCGTGTTTCTCGCTCTCAATTGCACTGGTTTTGGTCCAGTGCTCGTTGCAACATGCTCGTGCCTTTTCTGTGGATCGACAGTGCCGCTGCCAGCCATCGC